TAGATACTTATCAGCATGCTGACCTCCAACCATCTGATGCCAATGGCACCCCACACATACTTTGACAATCCAAATTGTCTCCAGACATTGCCAAATATCTGGGGAGGGGGAAAACAAGATGGGGTGTAAAATCACCCCACTAGATCCTAGATTGATCTAGTCATTAACAGCTCACTACTGAAAACTGAAAGACCAAAAAGCACTGTGCATAGCTATTAAATTAACAGCTACCATAGCCTTAATATGTGCTAAACATTGTACTAAGTTACTTATTTATGGTTCTGCTCTAATAAGATAGATATTTATGCCTCTTTATTTATTTATTTTTAATTTGTTTTTGTAGTTGCAGATGCACAGCACATTTTTATTATTTTGTTTATTTCTATACCATGCCAAGGATCAAACCCAGTGCCTCACATATGCTAGGCAAGCACTCTGCCACTGAGCTACAGCCCCAGCCCCTCTTTATGTATTTTTATTTTTACTTTTTTTTTTTTTTTTGCAGTCCTGGGGATTGAAACTTAGGGTCCTCTACCAGTGACCTCCATCTCCAGATTTATTTATTTATTTTTTTTTTTTTTGAGAGTGTCTCACTAAATTGCCCAGGCTGGCCTTGAACTTGCAATCCTCCTGCTTCAGCCTCCAGAGTAGTGGGCATTATAGAAGTATACCTCCACACCTGACTTTTGCCTCTTTAAATAGTGCTTGGGGACTTGTGCTGGGAACTGCATGTGGGCCTTTAGTTATAAGGTAACAGAAAATCTAAGACCCATTGGTTTTTTCATAGACATAGCAATTGGCCTGAAATAAACCCTGTTTCCCATTCTGTCACCGCTTCCCAGCTGGCCTCGAATGGCTTTACTTAACCTTTCTAGGCCTTCATTTCCCTCTTTGCAAAACTGGGAGGAGAAGAAATCAAAGTTCAAGGACTCTATGGCTGTATTCAGTATCCAAAAGAGGAATCCTTTGAGCTCATGGGTGTGGCAGCACTTTATAAAACACAGAAGGGATATCATAACCTCAGATGCCTACAGCGGTCAAGCAGGTGATATAAGTGAAGGAGTTTATGTTATTATGACTCACGTTCTTTGCATATTTTAAAAATTGGATTTTTCACTTTCATGCAGCCAAATATGGTGGTGCATTCCTGTAATCCCAGTGATTTAGGAGACCAAGACAAGAGGATCACAAATTTGAGGTCAGCATGGGCAACTTAGCAAGACTCTGTCTCAAAATAAAAAATTTTAAAAAGCTGGGCATGTAGCTCAGTGGTCAAGCAGAGAGGTTCAATCCTTTGTCTCTCACACACACACACACACACACACACATACACATAGTAAAAAGAAGAGAGAGAAATATTACTTTTTCTTCTATCTTCCCATCTTTCATCAAACACACTGCCATGTTCAGATATCTTTAAAAAAAAAAAAAAAAAAAAATATATATATATATATATATATATATATATATATATATATTAGTTATAGATGGATACAATATCTTTATTTTGTTTATTTATTTTTATGTGGTGCTGATGATTGAACCCAGCGCCTCACATGTGCGGGGCAAACACTCTGCCACTGAGCCACAATCCCAGCCCATGTTTGCAGTTGCCAAAAAACCAGTTCATTTTCTCCCTTATTGTAAGAATAACAGTGCAAGATTGATGAGAAATAGTTACTGCCGCAGTCTGGCTGCAGCAAAATAAGGGGTGGGGGGTGTACGTTGATACAGCAGGAGAGGGAGCCGTTTATTGTAGGACAGGAGAGGTATTTATACATTCCACACAGCTTATCTAATTAACATAAACTAGATACAGCAGTCAACCAATCAGGAATCTCCACACTTAATGGCTCGCTTTTGTTACTTCTCAAACCACTCCCTCTGGCATTTTGCCAGGCACCATCCAGACTTGTTTACCAACTCTAACATTCCCCTGGCAAAATGCCAGGTGTTATTTTGACTTGTTTACAGACTCTAACAAGTTACTAACACTCTGTTTCACTATTTGAATGAGGCTTTGTCAAAGGGAGAGTCCATGACTCACCTGAATGGGGATGGCCACTACTCCACCCCATGAGGACCAGTAAGTCCAGTGTAGCCAAGTCTTCCATTTTTCAAGAGAAGGCAGAATCTACACTTTTATACAAATATCTCCCTAGTTGTATAAATTGGTTAACCCAGTCTTTCTTTCTTTTTTTTTTAAGAGAGAGAGAGAGAGAGAGAGAGAGAATTTTTAAATATTTATTTTTTTAGGTTTTTTGGCGGACACAACATCTTTGTTTGTATGTGGTACTGAGGATCCAACCTGGGCGGGCCGCACGCATGCCAGGCAAGCGCGCTACCTCTTGAGCCACATCCCCAGCACCCCCAGTCTTTCTTTAAGATAGCAGTAAGCACCATCCTTTTATTTTTATTTATTTATTTTTTTAGGGGATCTTTTCATTTGTTGGTTGGTTGGTGCAGGGGATTGAGCCCAGGGCTTCCTGCATGCCAGATAAGCCTACTACCACTAAGCTACAGCCCTATCCCCAAGAAACTTTCTTTTAAAATGTAAGTCAAGCTGGGCATGTGGTGGTAGCAACTACCTGTAATCCCAGCAACTGGGAGGCTGAGGCAGGAGGATCACAAGTTCAAAGCCAGCCTCAGCAAATTAGCAAGGCCATCAGCAACTTATTGAGACCCTGTCTCAATAAGTTGATGTAGCTCAGTTGGTAGAGTGCTTGCCTTACATGCACAAGGCGCTGGGTTCAATCCCCAGTACCACAAAATAAATGAATAAAATAAAAATAAAAAGGGCTGGGGATGTAGCTCAGTCATAAAGTACCCTTGGGTTCAATTTTCATTACTAACAAAGGTATTTAAAATAAACAAAATAAACAAAGGTATTGTGTCCAATAAACAAAGGTATTGTGTCCATCTACAACTAAAAAAAAAATTTTTTTTAAATGTAAATCTGGCTGGGGATGTGGCTCAAGCGGTAATGCACTCACCTGGCATGCACGGGGCGCTGGGTTCGATCCTCAGCACCACATAAAATAAAATAAAGATGTTGTGTCCACTGAAAATTGAAAAATAAATATTAAAAAAAAAAATGTAAATCAAGAACCAAGCATAATGGTGCAGCTACTCCAGAGGGTAAGTGTTCAAAGCCAGTCTCAGCAAAAGCCAGGCACTAAGTAACTCAGTGAGACTCTGTCTCTGAATAAAATACAAAGTAGGGCTGGAAGTAGGGCTGGGATGTGGCTCAGTGGTAAAGTGTTCCTGAGTTCAATCTCTGGTATCAAAAAAAAAAAAAAAACCCAGGACCCTGTCTCAAAATAAAGAATAAAAAGGGCTGTGGATGTTGCTCAGTGGTAGAGCACCCTTGGCTTCAGTCCCCCATGTAGAAAAAATAAAAATAAAACGATCATGTCAGGGATTCACAAAAATCCCTGTTAAGTCTCCTCAAAATAATTTCTGCAAGGGACACAGGTCCCCAGCCCCATCGGATCTACACCCTCTCAGGCTAGCATTACCTCCCAGAGCCAGCTAAGCTCTTGCCTCACCTTCATTTTATGTGGTTCATTCTTCACCTTCAAAGCTTTGCTTAAGTCACTTTCTTCCACTAGGGTGACAGTAGTAGAGCATTTGCCTAGCATGTGCAAGAGCGTGGGTTTGATCCCTAGCACCCAAAAAACAACAATAAAAAAAGTTGCCTTCTCAGTGAGGCCTTTCCTGACAACCTTTAACATTGCAAACCTCCCCAAAATATAACATTCCTAACTCCCCTTACCCTGCCCTCATTTTGCCTTAGCACTCATCATCTACAACATTCTATATAATTTTACTTCTTTGTGATGTTTATTGCATGTTTTCCCTTGCTAGAATGTAAATGTCATGAAATAGAGGTTTGTGTGTGTGTTGCCTACTGCATAGCCTATGAGCCTCAAACAGTGCCTGGCACACAGTAGAGGTCCAATAAATATTTGTTAAATGAGTGAATTAAAAAATCAATATTTTAAAACACCCTTTGCTGGAAACGGTGTCAGTCACCTGTAATCCCAGTAACACTGGAGGCTGAGACAGGAGAATCACAAGTCAAAGTCCAGCCTGGGCAACTCAGTGAGACACTATCTCAAAATGAAGTTTACAAAAGGGCTGGGGATGTAGCTCAGTGGCAAAGTACTTGCTAGAATGTGTGGAGCCCTGGGCTGGGGTTGTGTCTCAGTGGTAGAGTGCTTGCCTAGCACGTGCGGGACCCTGTGTTCAATCCTCAGCACCATGTATAAATCAACAAAATAAAGGTTTTGTGTCCAACTACAACTAATAAAAAATATTTTAAAAAAGTATGTGTGGAGCACTGAGTTCAATTCCACAATCCCGATAATGCGCACGCGCGCGCGCACACACACACACACACACACACACATACACAGATCCTGAAGGTGAAATAACTCTTAAATAAGTAGCTATAAGAAAAAAATGCTATTGCTCTTAATATAAAGCAGAGGAAGGTCATATGGCATGCCCAGTCCCTAGGAGGTTCTCCTCCTTTGGGAAGAGGGTGAGGAACGCTGTCCCATTTGAAGAGGTTTGTAGAGGCCCATATAGCACAGTTGTAGGGCCCTCCCTTGGCCCCCAGCATCACCAGGGCTGAAAAAGTTCAAATATCCACTCATCCCATACCTCTCTCTCTCTCTCTTTTTCTCTCTCTCTTTGGTATTAGGGATGGAACTCAGGGGCACTTAACCACTGAACCACATCCCCATCCCATTTCGTATTTTATTTAGAGACAGAGTCTCACTGAGTCACTTAGGACCTTGATGACTTTCTGAGTCTGGGTTTGAACTTGCAATCCTCCTGACTCAACCTCCCAAGCCTCTGGGACTACAGGCATGTGCCACCACACCCGGCTACTCATCCCATCTCTTAATCCAACTCAGGGTGACCTAGTTTCCATCTTCCAAATCCCTAGTATCTCCCCACAAGGAAAGAAGGTGGTGCACAGCAGAGAGATATACAACCTTCATCAACTGAGATTTATTGAGCTCCTGATGTGTGCCAGGCCCTGAGGAGGAGTACAAAAGGTATCAGATAAGGTCCCAGGCTGCAAGGAACTTCTGGACCAGAGAAAGAAAAGAGGTAGACAGAAGCAGGTGTCAATCATAAGCCTCTTTTCCCCCTCTGTGGTCTCAGAAAATGGGAGTGTCTAGAAAGAGACCTTTAGATCATCGTCTCCAAAACATATGTGCACAGATTATACATGTACAAGACATATGTAGAACCCACACAACTATGGGATATGCATATGACACACAATACACATGTGTCACGTGGGTGAGATTCATGTATAAAGTCCATAAGTGCATAGGTCATGTGAACGTGGCACAAGAACCCCAACTTCCCAAGCCAGGGTGGCCAGATGGGGGAAAGCCTCAAGCCAGCTAGGCCTATCAATATCAAGGTTGGGGCTGGTACTGGCCCTCTGTGGCCGTGAAGAAGTCCTCCAGTACACTGCGTAGGTAGTCAAAGGTGGGTCGGTCCTCTGGATGCTCCTTCCAGCACAGCATCATGAGGTGGTACAACTCCTCTGGACAGTTGTCAGGCCTAACCATGCGATAGCCTCGCTCCAGATTCTGAATCACCTCAGGATTGGTCATCCCTGGAGATCAATAGGAAACAAGGACATCAAACCTCCAGGCTTTGAAAGCCCACAGGCAGGGCTGATGCTAGAGTTAGGATCTTAAATATTCCCCAAAGATCCATGTGTTGAAGGCTTGGTCCTCAGCCTGTGACACTTATGGGAGGTGGTTGAACTTTTAGGAGGTGGGGCCTAGCGAGGAAGTGAGATCATCGGAAGCCTGCCTTTGATGGAGTATTGGACCCCGACCCCTCCTCTTCCTCTTTGCTTCCTGACCTCCATGAAGTATTTCCTTACAGTAACAGAAAACTGACAAATACAGGCGATGTTCAGAATATTTGAATGGCGTGGTGTGAGTACCAATCCAAAAGGTTTTCATCAGTGGTAGGCCACACTAATGGTACCTGCTAAATATCAGTGAGACCACTGGGAGTTCCTGTTACAGATTACACACTCAGTGACACACTTGTTAGCTGTGGGACCTTGAGTAAGCCACCTCTTTGAACCTCAGTTTCCTCACCTGGAAAATGAAGTAAATAGTTGTTCCTACCTCACAGAGTTCTTAAGGGGACTCAGTGAGTTAGTGCATATAAAGCACCAGGTTTAGTGCTTGAACAGGAGAGGCTTCGTAAAGGGCACCTGAGGTTGTTATGATTTGGTGAGAATGATATGGTGGTCTGGACCCAGGGCAGGAGGAGGCATCTCTAGCTTTGGGACAAGGCACATGAGGAGAGCAGATGGACCCCCAGACTCCAGCAAAACAGACTCTGCCCCTCACTGAGAAGGCTCACCAGGCCTCTCCATGACCCATATGAAATAGTCATTGGGCTGGTAACCTTCTTTTGTGCTGCTCCTGGTCCCCATGGTAGCTTCTGGCCCCCATGGCAGCTTCTGGCATGTACCTTTTCTCAAGAGGAGGTGCTCTGGAGAACTGCATGCTCACAGCTAATTTGTGGTGCTGGGGATTGAACCCAGGGCCTTGTGCATGCGAGGCAAGCACTCTACCAACTGAGCTATATCCCCAGACCCACAGCTCCCTATTTCTACAATACCCACGCAGCCCGTTTTCTTCTTCAGTCTCTTGAGAGAAGACAATTAATCCCCAAAGACCAAACCCTTCTAGAAAAATAGAAGTTTTGTTTTTGTTTTTGAGACGGGGGTCTCGCTATGTTACCCAGACTGACCCAAGCAATCCTCCTGCTTCAGACGCCTGAGTAGAATAAACTATAGGCATGAACTGTGAATGCTTGGCAAAATAAAAGTTTTGCTCCTGCAGAGTTTGGGCCTGGTCAAGAGTGAAAAAAAGTTTTGCCCACATCTTGCTCTGGGAGGCCTTTACCTTTTACAGGTCCCTCACATTTTAAAATCAGGACACAGGAAAATGTAAACCAGGGAACCAAACACCCATGAAGAGTGGAGGGTGCCAACCCAGACAAAAGCCAGCCTAAATATAGCTCACAGGCCCACTTTGGTTTGTTCCATATGGTGTTTTAAACAATTTGAATCAATCACCTATATTTGGAAATAAGCAGGTTTTCCTAAACTCCAAGTTTGAGCTTCTCTTGAAAAAAAAAAAAAAAAAAAAGATTTCCAGGCTCAGTTGCCTGTGCCTGAAATCCCAGCCACTTGGGAAGCTGAAGCAGGAGAAATCTAAGTTTGAGAGCAACTTGGGCAATTTAGCAAGACCCTGTCTCAAAATAGAAAATAAAATGAGCTGGAGATGTGACTCAGTAATAGAATGTCCTTGGGTTCCATCCCCAGCACTGTTAAAACAAACAAACAAACAACAACAACAAAAAACCTCCTTCCACTGGAGCAGATGCAAATTCACCAAGGTCCCTGTTGCTTCCCATTGTCTCTCTGACCTTAATGCCACCTGTCAGTTCCTGTTCATCATCATTTTCTTTTCTGTGGTGCTGGGGATTAGACCCAGGGCCTTCAGCTTGCTAGGCAAGTGCTCTGCCACTGTCTATATCCCCAAGACCTGTCATCCTGCTTTCACTACCTTTTCTTCTAATGGAGACATTCTCTATGGGTTTGCCTCCATAGGCACAGTGGAGGATGGGAAGGACTGTAGGCAGAACACCTGGAGTGTGGTCTAGGTCCAGCAATGGCCCTGGACTGTGTGAGGGTAAAGCCCAGGGCAGGGAGCCCACCTCTCATCTGAACACAGGGTGCCTTTACCTTCCTAGGAGTAAAGTTCTTTTCACATTTTACTGGGAATGTGGGAAGCCTCTGCAAATCCAGCCACTATGTTCCATAACCTCCCTGCTCCCAATTTCCTTTTCCATTTCCTTTCCCTAGAGTTTCTTAGTGAGTTCCTTTCAAAAAAAAAAAAAATTATACCACTGGGGCCAAGCGTGATGATGCACCCTGTAATCTCAGTGGCTCAGGAGGTTGAGGCAGGAGGATCACAAGTCCAAAACCAGCCTCATCAACTTGACAAGCCCTAAGTAATTTAGTGAGACCCTGTCTCTAAATTAATTTTTTTTAAATGGCTGGAGATATGGCTCAGTTTTTAAGCACCCATGGGTTCAATCTCTGGTACCATTAAAAAAAAAAAATTCCACCCCTGTCTTGGATGAATTTAGGGTTAAGAATGTTGTTCTAGACATGGAGGATGTGGGGGTAGTATCTGTTTCTCCCTCTTTAGATGAAAAGCTTCAGAGGGAAGAGAAACCAGTATTTAGTGAGCACCTACTATGAGTCAGGCTCTTTCACAGAATCTCTTTTTTCTAATATCAGGAAATTGAGGCTGAGAGAAATGACGTTACTTGCCCAAAGTAATGATTAATAATAGCTTAGTATGAGCTAAGCAGTATTTTTAACTTTTTTTTTCTTTTCTTTCCTTTCTTTCTTTCTTTTCTTCTTCTTCTTCTTCTTCTTTTTTTTTTTTTTGTAGGTATATGTAGAGGATTGAACTCAGGGGTGGCTTTGGCTTTACTACCAAGCTACTTCCCCCACCCTTTTTACTTTTTATTATTTTGAGAGAGGGTCTTCCTGGGTTACTGAAGCTGTCCTGGAATTTGCAATCCTCCTGCCTCAGCCTTCCTTGTCACAGAGCCCAGCCTATTTTGATCTTATATTTAATAGATATGAAAAGATAGAATGATCTGATCAAAGCCAAACAGAAAGTTAGAATCAATGACCAATCTGGTTTAAAAAAAAAAAAAAAAGATCTTTTGACTCCCAGGCTAGATCCACTTCTACCATACTAGGCTGCCCATGCCAGAATTAAAGAAAGGATCTGGAAAAGAAGAACAAGATCCAGAGACAGTGATGAAAGCCAGTGCTGGGATCTGCTTAGGATCGTTGGAGTCACACTCCTCAGAGGATACAGGATAAGCAGCCAAAAGTTTCAAATTCTGAACCTGGAAAGCAGTGAGTAAGAAGACAAAGATTTTCTGCCCTTCCCTATAACCCTGTGGTTCCTACCCTTGGCACTGACCTGGGTAAGGGATACGGCCATGGGTAACAATTTCCGTCAATAGAATCCCGAAAGACCACACATCTGACTTGATGGTGAATGTCCCGTAGTTGATGGCCTCTGGTGCTGTCCACTTAATGGGAAATTTGGCCCCTGTAGGGAGGTGGGGAAAGAGTGAGGTCACCCGTGTCTGCCTGGCCAGACCCTGCAGACCCCAGAACTCCCTCATGTCCCACACCTACCCTCCCTGGCTGTGTACTCATTGTCCTCAATGAGCCGTGCTAGGCCAAAGTCTGCAATCTTGCAGCTCAGGGTGTCAGACACCAGGATGTTTGCAGCTCGCAGGTCACGGTGGATGTAATTCCGCTCTTCAATGAATGCCATGCCCTCTGCAATCTGTTGGCCAGGTACAGGTCATCAGCCCTGGGCTGGATATCCTCACCCCACGGGTCTGTACCCATGCCAAACTGCTCCCCAATCTCCTTACTTGGGCTGCCATGTCCAAGAGTTTGTTGATGGTCAATTTGATGCCCGAGGAGGTCTTGAGAAAATCCACCAGGCTCCCTGTGGGCAGAAGCAAGAGTTGCTGACTAAATTGCCCGAAAGGGTCCCAGACTCTCCTCTCCTAACTGGAGTCTAGAGGCAGTGTCTGACACGTGGAAAGGAAGAATTAGGAGAATGGAGGAGTTCAAGGTGAGTATGCTCAGAGTATAGGGTATGGTTGGAGGGGTCTGTAAGCTCCTTGTCAGAATAAAGTAGGCCCCGACAACTCAGCTGGGCATCCAAAACCCTGCCTGCTCCACTTTGTGGTTGCTCTGCCCACGCCACTTCTCTCACTGCCCCCACTATGGACAATTTTCAGATTCTTCACACAGACCACTAGATTCTCATCTCAACCTTTCTTTGTTTTATCTCTGCCTGCTAAAAAAATTCTACTCTTGTTTCGCAGTCCACTAGATTATTCTTCTAGGAAGCCTTTCTAGATCCTACCAGGTTTAATAAGTTACATCATCATCTACATTCCTCTGGCATGCTGGAACTTCCCCCATGGCATAAACTTTGGTTTTCCCATTGCCCAAAGTTAAAATCAAGTTTCCCTTACAGTAGAAACCTTGTTTGATTCATCCATGTCCAAGCATCAATGTTTTCAGTGCCCAGTGCTGAATGTATTGAATGAGAAGTAGGGAAAATGGTCCCTGGAGGCCTGAGGGACCGCCTCTCTGGTAGTGGAGGGCATCTGGGAGGACACCATGGATGTGAGTTGTTGGGAAGAGTTAGTGACCACTTGCCCTATCCAAGAGATTAAAACCCCATGTGAAGGGCTGGTGATATAGCTCAGTTGGTAGAGTACTTGCCTTGCATGCACAAGGCCCTGGGTTCAATCCCCAGCACCGTTTAAAAAAAAAAAAAAAAAAAAAAAAAAAACATGTGAGGATGACAACAACCTGTCCCCACTATAAGTGCTGAATTATTCAGCAAAGATAAAAACCTCACTCAGACACAGTAAATATGTGGCCATGTGCTGCCATTCAAGTATTAGGGGCAGATGCATCAATTCCAATGTTCATTTCCAATGAGCCTCAGAATCCTTCTCAACTCAGCACTCTAAGCAACTATAAAAGTTATTACTCAAGACAAAACCTCTTTGCCACTTCCAGAACCCAGTAGCTAATTAATAGTTTATTTCTCTCCCTGAAAGAGAGACATGTCTTGTACTCCCAAACAATCAGAGCCAGATAACAGCAACAAATTTATGGCAGAGATTGTTCTAACTCTTATCCTCACAAAGACCTCATGAGTGAGTGCCTATTGCATTAGTACCACTATTTTACAGATGAGAACCATGGCAAAAATAAGTGATGTGATCTGCCCAAAGCTACATAATCATGAAGCCAAGACTAATCCAGGCAGTCAGACTCTAGGTCCTTAATGGACATTGCATATATTTTTGGATGAGCTTTTTTAGATTTTTGCTGTTGGACTTAGGGGAGCTGAATACCATGGACAGTACAGGGAGTTGGCCTATACCACACATGGCAAATCAGTGGCTTCAAAGCTGAGCCTAGAAACTCATATCCCTCTTCATAGGATTCTCACTCTGTCCAACAGCAGTCCCAGAGAGGCGTCGGGCTCACCCAGAACTGAAAAGGAGGCTTTGGAGCAAATCCATCCTCCCAAGTTTCCAGGGAAGAAAGGAGAGAAACAGAACTAGGGACCTACTCATTTTCTGAGGTCAAGCATCCTGAGATGCTTTGACTGAAAAAAATGCAAAAGGGACTGACTGCAGGTCAGGAAAGATGGGGATGAACATTCTTCCAAATGCTGCCACATCAGGCTGGGTCGTAGACAGACTCAGATGACACAGCTTCTTCTTACCCCTGTAGGTGGGTCTTTAGATGCCCAGGAAAACCCTCAGTGTTTGGCCGGAGCAAAAGGGGTATGCCCCCGCCCCACTCCAGTAGAATAGGGGTAGAGTAGAGGTAGGAAGGGGTGGGAGACAGCAGTGTCCTCCAGCGTCCAGGTATGGCTGTAGCACCCACCATTCTCCATGTATTCGGTGATGATGTAGATTGGCTCCTGGGTGACCACCGCGTAGAGCCGGACCAGCCGCGGGTGCTGCAGCTGCTTCATGAGGTTGGCCTCAGCGAGGAAGGCATCAGGGGACATGCTGCCTTGCTTCAGGCTCTTCACTGCCACCTTCGTGTGCCCGTTGTAGTACCCTGGATAGGGAACAGGAGGGAGTGAAGGAGTTGTGGAACTCCTGCTCCCAGAGCCAAGCAACTGCCCTGAAAGTGGACGCCTCCCTCTCCCCTCTTTCCCAGCAGTCTTGGAAGCCCGTACTCACCCATCCACACCTCCCCGAACTGGCCGGCCCCCAGTCGCTCCACCAGCTTCAGCGTCTCCCTGGGAACCTCCCACTCGTCCTCCCACCACGGCTTCTGGGGCTTCTGGGTCTGGCAGGGGCGGCTCAACCTAGTGCACAGCCCATCAGAAGTATCTGCAAGGGCAAGGGCAAGGGAGAGGGAGGGGGCTGTCAATATGCGAGGCCTTGGGTGCTTTCCCCAACCCCCAGCTCTCCAAGTTCCCTTCTAGAGGAATGTAATGAAGCGGGGTGAAGGTCGGTCACCCTACATCTGGGCTGTAGGGTCAGGTACCACATCTCACCCACTTGGTAATGAAGGAGTACCCTGAAAGATGGTTGAAGGGTACCCCTGAGAAGGACTAGGGGGAGACAAGCTGATAGGGCACAGGTGAGGGGTCCTGCTGGGGCTCACTGGTGTAATGGCGGACCAGTTCATGCAATCCGGGAAAAGTGATGCGAGGGGAGATGTAGAACCCGCCGTTGTCTAGGTTACGGATCTTGTAATGTTTCACCACCTCTCCCTGATTCTGGTCGAAGTCCCGGACCGACAGTGAAAATGATCCTGAATGAATGAACAAACCAAAAAAACGCAAAGGAGAAGGGGTGGCCTCCTGCTAGCCGCGCGGTCATTGCAACCCTGGTCTAGGGCTCAAACCCTGCTCCTCCAGCACCTACTCGCCCGCGGCCCCGCCCACTCCTCCGAGGCCCCGCCCTCAGGCCCCGCCCAGTCGCTCACCAGCTGTGCTCTCGCTTTCTCGGATCAGGAAGGAACCGTGCGTGTTCCCGGGCGCCAGGAGCTGCCGCTCAGCGTCCTTGCGGCTTAGGTTCTTGAAGAACCAGCTGCGCACGGAAGAAGCAAACGAAGGCCGTTGGCTGTTGGTCCTTTTTAACTCCATCATCCTCAACCATTCGCCACCACCCCCAGGACCACTCCCCGCTCCGAGATCCCTAGATCCGTTCCCACCCACACCCACCAAGGTCCCCACTCACGGTTCGGGTTCCAGACTGTTCGCTTTGGCCACGAAGTTGAAAGGGATGAAACCTTCCAGGCCTGTGGTGAGGGACTGCGCCTTCCACCACTCGCCGCTCCTGCGCCACAGGGGCAGTCAGCTGGAGACCCTCGATCAGGGTCCCCAGTAACTCAGGCCACCGCGACCCCTGGATCAGCATTCTGGAGCCTCGCATTTTGTCCCAAAGGAACCCACTTCGAGCCAGTCAAGGACCCCAAGAGGGATGCAGTACCCGGGACAACGCTTTCTCACAGAATCCACAGTGCAGGGTGGGTGGGTGGAGGGGCACTCACTGTTCCAGGATACGGAGCTGTTCACCCTTCTCGAAGCCCAGGTCTCCGTCGTGAGAGGGCTCATAGCTGTGCAGGGCGATAACCAGGTTATCTGTAAAGACAGGGGGCGTCAGGAGAATAGAGTTCTGGAGTCACAGCTGGAACAAGACTTGGACCAAGAAAGGACGGAGTATGACGTAGAAGGGAGGAGAAGGCCAACAGCCAAGGATCCACAGACTTTATTTTCCGGGCTCTGCTGGTTGGGGTCACCTTGCAGTGGAGAGGCTGGTGGGTTGGAGCCCTCATAGGTGACAAGTGGGTCCCGTACTTCAGAGCCATTCCTCATGAGCAACTGTGGGATGGGAAATGAGGGTGGGTAAGAGAAAGATGACCGGATCAGATCCTGGCTCCCCTCCTTTCTGCCTCCTCTCCTCCATTTCTCCCACCTGATTTCTTATCTCTGAATTTATGTATTTACTATGTGACCTCAGGAGGGTCCCTTCCCATCTCTGGGCCTCTTTTTCCTTCTGTATTCCAGGATCTGCTGTGTTATTTCAAGGGCCTCTAGTAGTGAGCTCTTTCCTTCTCCTGGGCTGCACACCCACCTGGCTCCCTCACCAACCCCCATCTTGCCCCTTACCGTGCCCTTGCCATCCAGAGGGACTATGGGATAATGGCAGTTCTCACACACATCGATGTTTTCCATCCAGTCATCTTCAGGGTTTGAGCTGCAGGTACAGCCCATGGTCCCTGAGGAAATGGAGAGGGGGCTGAAGGAGTTCCCCCTAGATCTGTTCCCCCCCGGACATCAGGCGTCTTAGGGTGTTGCCCTGGGAGTTTCCGAAAGTACCTGAGACGGTCGACGGCCGCCGGACCCCCATTCACCAGCCACAGAAGAGCTGAAATGAGGGTTCCTGACTGGTGTCCCCTCAGAGCCCTCAGGCCACAAGTACATTGACACCAGGCCTATGCCTCGCCTGTGCTCCGCCCCCCACCTGGGATGGGCAAACCGCCACAAGCACCTTTGTCAGTCTAGTTACCCACTTCCTGCCTCCCCACCCTCTGCCAGTCTCCGAGTTGGAGGACTACCTCCCAGAGGTCACACACTTTACCAAGCCTTGAGGGAGACCTAAGTTTTTGATCAGATTCTCCTCTATCAGAGAAGATGATGCCCCTCTCCTAATCACAATTTTCCTCCCAACTAAGGAAGCTGGTGAGAGAACTTGGCTTCCAAAAGTCACCCTCAGGCCTCTGCCCTCCCCCATACCCACACCCACACAATCTCCTTCAGAGGGTTCCTTCTAATAGGGTTTTTCTTCTCACCAGCAGAGAACCCTTCAGCGGCCTTGTTGGCCAGAACTTTTTTGTTTGTTTGCCTGTTTTAGCAGCGGAAACTTTTTGTCAGATGAAATCAAGCAGAACTACATAGACACAGCAGGTAAAAGAAGAGCTGTCTGCCCAAGTCAGAGTGGGAGCCTCCCTCTGAAGATGACTGGATGGAAAACATCCTTCCCCAGGGACTGCTCCTCAGAACTGCTTGGAAAACACTAGTCCTCCGATAAAGTATAATTTACCTTGCATTCAAGACCGTTTAATATCAAGATCAACTCCACCTTCTCAATCTGTTTAGCTACACACACACACACACACACACACAGCCTGTCTACCTGCTGAACTTGAACTTCACCTCCAAGGTTCAACTCAAAAGTCACCTACTCTGTGGAGCCCTTCCATTGTTCTTTGTTCTCCTATCCCCCCAGGCCCCTGGATCATTCTACTCAGACCACAGTCTCAGTGGATCATTCTACTCAGTGCTCAGGCACTGAGTTCCATGATTACTGATTTATGCATGAGTCCTACTGCCTCTTCCACCCCCTTGATGAAGGGTGCTTTATTTGCCTGAAAGCCACTCAGCACTGAGAGCTAGTTATTATTAATAAATGTCAACTGATATGCAGAAGATCAGTGCACAGATTCTCCCACCTGTAAAGGTCTTAGAAACTATCAGACTAGCCTCTGAGTTTATTTATTTATTCATTTATTGGAGAGAGAGTCTAACCCCTGGGCTCAAGCAACCCTCCTGCCTCAGCCTCCCAAGGAGCTGGGATTACAGGCCAGAGCCACCAGACCTGGATTTAACCTCTTATTTGAGATAAGCGAAGTGAGGCCCAGGGAAGCCTGCCAAAAGTCACGCAGCCTCTTTGAGGTAGAGCAAAGCTAGTGCGGCTGATCTATACCAGGTAGAAGTGGAGATGGGAGCCGTGGAGGTTTCTGGTTAGCAAGACAGAAGACAGACCCTGGAGTCTGAAAGACCTATGTTCAAAAACTGGTTGTGACACTGTGACTTTACTGAAATCATTCTTTGAAGCCTGACTTTTCCTCTTCTGTCATGTGGGGATCATCATCCCTTTCTTGTCATCTTAGTATAGACTTTGGAAAGACTTCTACCAGGTCCCATTCTGCCCCATCAGCCCCTGCTCTGGAAGGTGGGAAAGTGGGACTTTTTGCTTCAGGCTCATGTTTCTCCAACTGAGATACTCAGAGCCTCCTGCAGATACCGGAAGTCATGGCGTGCACATCTTCCTGTAACATGAATGTTGCTTGATCTTATTCATATGAGTTAAACAATAAGGACCTCTTGTGCAGGAAAACACAAAATGCTCATGGAATATTAAGTCAAACCAAAAGACTTTCAGAAAAAAAAAAGTAGCAGAATCACTCTTCTTCCTACCCCAAGGACTCCTGTCAGTAGGGCAGGAGGACATTTGAGAAATCCTGCCAGGTCAGAGTTCACTCATTGTGACTGTGTGGCTTTTAGGATGCTCATTTGATTGTAACCAGGAAGTGATGAGCAGTAAAAGCTCCCCAAAAAGGATTGATAGAAACCTGGAACATACCAAGAGCTGAGCTCTCTAGTAAGGTAGACTAGACATGTTGTTTGTGATTTAACACGCCTCAGAAAAGCACAGGTTGGTTATGCTAGGAGAGAATACCAGTATCAGATGGGCTGCAGGCCTAGATCAGTAATGTCCTTTATTAGCTTGACAGTTTGGGAGACTTTGGAAAGAGGCAGGAAAAAGTTTGGGGTTAAAAAGAGGGGGTGGAAAAAAAAAGAGGGGGTAGATGAGGGCTGGGGTTGTAGCTCAGTGGTAGAGTGATTGCCTTGCATGTGTGAGGCACTGGATTCTATCCTTAGCACCACATAAAAAAGTAATTAAATAAAATAAAAGTATTGTGTCATGTACAACTAAAAAAATAAAAAAAAGAAAAAAAGAAGAGGGGATGAACTGGGTTATAGAAGTGAGGAGAAGCTAGTGGAAGGGGCAGAAGGAATCTAGGATGGAGATCCCACCTGGTCCAGGCTGAGGTCAGGTGGGGAGAGAAGAGAAGCCACAGAGCCTCAGGGAGAGTCCAAGAGAGCATGCAGGGAGGATCTATGTCTTGGACTGAATCTTGATCCACCAGAAAGTATCTAATATCCTTTAAGACTGGGGACAGTGTGGGGCTCAGTGGCAAACACCTGCTTAGTATGTGTAAAACCCTGGGTCACATCCCCAGGAAGAGAAGAGTCTGTAGGGAAATTAGTTCTTGGCTTGACTAATTGTATTATTATCTTTTCAGTGCATACTTAGTTAAATCTCTGTTTAAAATTTGAACTATACACATGCTGAGCATGGACAAGGATCTGGGTTCAATCTCCAGCACACACACACACACACACACACACACACACACACACACACAGTTTTTAAACTAGAAAACAAAAAACAAAAAAATTAGTAGCTAAGTGAAGCTTGTTCGTAGGCAAAAACTTCTAAACCATGAGAGAGCCATTGGGTCGGGGAATGTAGGACAGGAAGTGGCAATAGTCCTTGGGAGGGAAGAGTTTAGGAAGCACTCATGTAATTTGCCAATCTTGTTTTAAAGAAGAGAGGGAGTAAGGCTCCAGGTGCCCTGGTGCACCCCTATAATCCCAGTGACTTAGTAGGCTGAGGCAGGAGGATTGTAAGTTCAAGACCAGCCTCAGCAACTTAGCAAGAACCTGTCTCAAATTAAAAAAAATAGGGCTGGGGCTGTAGCTCAGTGGCAAAGCACTTGCCTAGCATGCATGAGGCACTGGGTTCGATCCTAAACACCATATAAAAATTAACAATAAAATAAAGGCATTCTGTCCATCTACAACTACAAAAAAATTTTTTTAATTAAATAAAATAAAAAAATAGATAAAAAGGGCTGGGTGACAGAGTTCAGTGGTAGAGTGCCCTGAGTTCAATTCCTACTACCTCAAAACAACAATAACAAGTTAAAGAGATGAAATGATAATAATAATTAAGAAGAAGAAAAATAAAGCTGGAGAAGTTGGGAGATCAAAGAGGTTAGGTGATTTTCCCAGTAACACACTAAGGGTTCCTGTCAGAAGCAAACTCAAATCAGATCCGGTGGGAGGCTGTCACCTCTTGTGACCAGTGTTTTTCCCTCCTGATCAGTTGAGGCACTGCGGGTCATCCCCCCAATGATCTGGCTACTCTTAAGTTGCTGAAGACGGTAGCCCGATCTTGAGGGTAGAAATAATGCCACCAAATGTGTCTTCATGCGTAGGCCCACCTTCCTGCAGCTCCATGGGTCAAGCTATGCTTACCTGTTCCCCTTGCCCTGTTTGGGATAGAATGTTCCATGGAAACGCCCTTTGTGTGTCCCCTTCTCTTACTCTGCCCTTGGGTGTGGCCTTCCTAGATGTCAGTCAACCTGCTGACAGCAGACATTGTGAAGCTTGACTCAGCCCCTTGAAACCTGACCCTTTGCCTCATTTGAATGTCTTCTCAATAAAAAGGGTCAGCACGTGTGGGCTCTTTTTCTTCAGACCCTTAAGGTCAGAGGAACCGTCACAGTACCCCCAAAGAAAAAGGTATTTCTGTCTTATGTGTGGTTATTTCACGCAGCCCAGTTCCCCTGAAGTGACCCTGAGTGTTTTAGTCGCGAGCAACGCAGCAAGATCCCATGTTCTCTATCAAGGTATTTTCCTCTATTTTTCATCCCATGGGCAGCCTACAGAGGAAGGGGTGTCCTGACAGGTCACAGAGGAAGAGAGACACGTCTGAAGGTGTGGACCACTCCCCACCCAGGACTTGACCATTGTGCTAACAAAGGCTTTTCTCTTGGACAATTTGCCTTCTACCTAGAATGCATGTTTCAGGATCTACATTTTCCTCACTGGTGAATGCAGGTCTGCACAGGATTCAGGAGTGTTGTGCTTCTGTGTGTAAATCCATGTTCTGCATGAGTCTGTGCATACAGAGGGATGCATAATAGATGTAGGTATGTACAGCAGGGCCCGTCCCTGTGTCACTGTGAGGCCATAGATACATACATCTGTTTATAAAAATGTAGGTCTCATCTTTCTGGTCTTAGTTTGACAAAAATTGCTGGGTAGCCAAAGTGATCTAACCAGGTTAATAATGAGGTCAGTAAAAAGAAGTCAAAATTAAAGCTTAATATAAATTTCTCATTGTCTGAAAGAAAGAAGAAAGAAATCTAAGGAATCCCCAGGGCTCCCAGAGCTGGCAATGAGGACGAATTCTGGAGTGAATGAAGGAGGACATTCTCTTCTCCCAACTCAGGAACTCAAGGCCAAGAGTGAGAATTGTGTAGATTCTAGACTATCTCTGACTAGGGTCTACAATGTTCTTGGCTTCCCACGAGGCACAGGGAACTTTTTGCCCATTATTAGAGGTCCACCCAACCCTGGCATGTTAATCTTGAAAAGTGGAGTAGAAGCTGGATTCCAGTGCCTGCCCTTCTAGCCCCTCAGCCGTGTGCTCACCCTGCCCAACACACACATCAGCCCTGCACACATGGTATGTTTAATTGATTCAAAAGATCTCAGGCTGTGTGCACACCTGTGATCCCAGCAACTCGGGAGGCTTGGGCAGGAGGATCATAAGTTCCAGGCCAGCCTCAGCAACTTAGCAAGGCCCTAAGCAATTTACTGAGACCCTGTCGCAAAATCAAAAATAAAAAGGGCTGGGGATCTGATTCAGTGATTAAGCACCCCTGTATTCAATCCCCGATACCAAAGAAAAAAATCTCAGGCTGTGTGAATCTTCTGAACTAGGCTTTCTGGTCCCAGGGTTGTTGAGGAATTGTAGCTATGGATTTCTGATTCTTGTAGATTCATTAATTTTTTTTTTTCCTTCAGTACTGGGGTTTGAAATAGGGCTTTACACATGCTGTACAAGCACTCTACCACCAAGCTACGTGCCCCATCCCCAGCCTCCTTTTATATTCTACTTTATTTTTTGTAGTACTGGAAGTGAAAAACAAGAGTATCCCACCTCTGACCTACATTCCCAACTCTTTGTTTTCAAAAATTTTTTAATTTTTTTTTTTTTTTAGTACAGGGGATTGAACCCTCAATTTAAACATTGAGCCACATCCTCAGCTCTTTTTTGTGTTTTATTTCGGGACAGGGTCTCATAGAGTTTCTTAGGGCCTTGCTAAGTTGCAGAGGCTGACTTTGAACATTCGATCCTCCTGCCTCAGACTACCAAGTAGCTGGGGTTACAGGTGCTCACCATCACACCTGGCTAAAGCATCATCTTATTTTATTTTATTAAGTAGACAAAACACATTCTAGATTAATGTGTTTTTTAGTATTCATTTTTTAGTTGTAGTGGGACACAATATCATATATATATATATATATATATATATATATATATATATATATATATATGATTTATTGATTTATTTTATGTGGTGCTGAGGATCGAACCCAGGGCCTTGCACATGCGAGGCGAGCACTCTACTGCTGAGCCATAACCCCAGCCCCTGGACGCAATATCTTTATTTATTTATTTTTGTGTGGTGCTGGGGATTGAACCCAGGGCTCACCCATAATAGGGGAGTGCTCTACCGATGAGCCACAACTCCAGCCCCTAGATTAATGTTTTTTAAGTCAATGTATGTAAAGCTCATAAAAGTGAATGAGCCAGACTTGGAGGTGTGTATTATT